TTCCAACAATGGGCTGTCGACATATATGTGAAAGTTGAGTCGATGCGCTTAGACTGGTACCCTAAACCGGAGAATCAAGATCTCATCCGTGCTGACCTTTACCAGGTGAGGACATTTTTAATAATCATAAAATAGGTGCATTTCACACTTTATTAAATTATCATCTATTGATATTTCTTTCACTCTAGGGTCTAATCGACACACTCGCTGCTGGAGTGACCCGTGTTTCAGAGGCAGGAAAAAGAATTGTCTTATCCAAAGATTTCCATGGAAGTGATAGAGATGTTCATGCGAGATTTATGGATGCAATGACTTTAGTGACTAGGTTTGGTAAGCCGGATTTTTTATAACAATGACATGCAACCCTTATTGGGATGAAATAATGGCAGAGTTATTACCTGGGCAGACCCCTCAAGATCGTCCTGATGTGGTGACGAGGGTGTATAGGGCCAAATTACTAAACCTGCATCATGATTTGATTAAAAAAGGAGTCCTTGGCAAGGTCGCGGCATATTGTCATGTGACTTGAGTTTCAGAAGAGAAGCCTACCACATGAACACTTCCTTTTGATTATGGAGCCAGATGATAAGTTGAGGAGTCCAGATGACTATGACAGATTTATATCAGCAGAGCTACCTAACCCAATGAAATACCCCGTGTTGCATAGGTTGGTTTGCAAGCATATGATGCATGGTCCTTGTGGTACATTGAATCGAAACTGCCCGTGCATGGTAGATGGAGAATGTTGTTTTCAGTATCCTCGTCAATTTTGTGAAACCACCCAACAAGGAAAGGACTCATATGCGATTTATAGGAGAAGGGATGATGGTCAAAGTGTGAAAGTAAGGGGCGAAAAATTAGATAACAGATGGGTTGTTCCATATAACCCAATGCTCCTGATGAAGTATAACTGCCATATTAATGTTGAGGTTTGCTGCAGTATTCAGTCTGTTAAGTACTTGTATAAGTACATATATAAAGGTCACGATTGTGTATTGTTGATCCTTCAAATAGTGATGCACAAAAAAATGATGAGATTAAGCAGTATAGGAATGCAAGATGTATAACCGCTTACAGGTTGTATGGCTTTCCTTTGTATTCTATGTCACCACCTGTACTGCAAATGCAAGTGCACCTACCAGGTATGCATATGGTCTCATACAAATCTAGAGATGATCTAAATAAGGTTGTCCAAAGTGAAAGGGCGAAGAGGTCCATGCTTACAGAGTATTTCAGGACAAACATGGAAAATCCTGCAGCTCAGAAATACTTATACAGGGAGTTCCCAGAATACTTCATTTGGAAGAAGTCTCATAAACGCTGGGAGCCTAGAAAACAACGCACACAGATTGGCAGGCTCGTGTATGCTCACCCTGCTGAAGGTGAAAGATACTACCTACGGGTGCTATTAAACCATGTGAGGGGTGCAACCTCATTTGAGGATCTTAGAACTTGGCATGGTACTACATATCCTACGTTTAGACAGGCTTGTGAGGCCATGGGCTCTGTGGAGACCGATGAGACATTAGATGCATGCTTGACTGAATCTAAAGTATTCAAAATGCCTTGTGCTCTTAGGAGGTTATTTGCAACGATTATGGTCTTTTGTGAGTGCGCCAATGTTCCTAGCCTCTGGGATAAGCATTTTGAGTCAATGGCCGAGGACTACCGTCGGTCCCATGGGAACTCTGGCTTGGTTGAGCAAATGGTGCTTAGAGACATCTCGAATCATGTTGCTTCAATGGGAAGAGATATTAAAAGCTATGGCCTTCTAGAACTGGACGAATCAAGTGAGGTAGTTCACTGTAATTAGTGATATTATATAACCTCTACTATTATTGCTTCATGTTCATGTTACTTTGTCCATTTTATACACATAATGAAAACATGTGCCTTATTTGTCTTTGAAATTTATAGATGATTTATCAAGGGACTATTATAGAGAGCTTACAGAGGAACTAAAGGTTGGTTTTGACAAAGATCACCTAAAGATTATTGATACACTGAATGTGAAGCAACGAGCTGCTTTTGATGAGATACTAGATCATGTGCTCAATAAACGAAGCCGTGTATTCTTTATTGATGGTCCTGGAGGCACAGGAAAGACATATCTATATATGGCTTTATTGGCTAAAGTGAGATCAATGGATCTTATTGCAATTGCTACCGCAACATCTGGTATAGCAGCATCTATTATGCCCGGTGGTCGCACTGCCCACTCAAGATTCAAGATTCCTATCAAAATAGATGCTAATACCATGTGTAGCTTTTCAAAACAGAGTGGAACTGCTATGTTGCTTCGCAGGGCTGCTCTAATAATATGGGACAAAGTTGCAATGACAAAGAGACAAGTGGTATTAACACTTGATAGAACATTGCAAGATATAATGGGCTGCAATCAACCTTTTGGTGGTAAGGTCGTGTTGTTTGGAGGTGACTTCAGGCAGGTTCTTCCTGTAGTGACACGAGGAACAAGAGCCCAGATCACAGATGCTACTTTGCTGAGATCATATATATGGTATAATGTACGGAGGATTTGGCTCACCCCGAATATGTGGGCTCAAAAAGACACATGGTTCTCGGAATACCTATTAAGAATTGGAAACGGCACGGAAGAAACATTTGGGGATGATTATGTTCAACTGCCTGATGATATTCTGATTACATGCAACGATGAACATTTTGCAAAGAATTCCTTAAAAAATAAAATGACAAATTTAGAAGATGCTTCCATTAACATTCTTATCGATAGGGTATTTCCGAATCTACGAGCGAATTACAACTCTGCAGATTATATAAGCGAGCGGGCAATTCTTTCTACAAGGAACGAGCACGTCGATGCAATGAACAAGTTAATGATTGAAAAGTTTCCCGGAGATGAGAAGGTATACTATAGTTTTGATTCGGTCGATGATGATTCAAGAAATAATTACCCTATTGATTTCCTTAATACTATTACACCAAATGGGTTGCCTCCTCATGAGCTCAAAGTCAAAAAGAATTGCCCGGTTATCTTGCTACGTAACCTAGATCCTCACAACGGACTTTGCAATGGGACAAGGCTAATCGTCAGAGAATTTCAAAACAAACTCAATCGACGCTGAAATTGTTAATGGGCAGCATAGTGGAACTAGAGTGTTCATACCAAGAATTCCTATGTCTCCTTCTGAGGACCTTACATTGCCCATCAAATTTAAGCGGAAGCAACTTCCGATCAGGTTGAGTTTCGCAATGACAATAAATAAAGCCCAAGGTCAAACCATACCTAATGTAGGCATTTACCTACCCGAACCAATATTCTCTCATGGCCAACTATACGTAGCGTTGTCACAGGGTGTTTCACGCAAAAGTACGTGGGTGTTGGCAAAAACAAACAAAGCTATTGACCCCACTGGAAGGAGGAAAAAAAACATTGCACACAGATGTTCTGGAGCTATGATATAGAATATTCAAAAAATATTTTATTCTCGATACAAGTCCATTTATATGATACAAGCAAAAGCATGTATATTCAGGATTTATTTTTTTAAAACAATGGATTGTATTCAAAAAGAAAATCCGCCCATGCCAATATATCCAAAACAGAGGAAATAACAAATGCAAGATTCAGAGTCGATTCATCGTGAATAAAAAACATTGTTTACCTGTCGCAATGATTAGTGACTTGAAGCTGCTGATTGAGGGACGGCTGATTGACCTGTGCCAACCGGTGTAGAGGCAGCAGCAGGGGATGCTCCCGTGCTTGCACATACACTCTCACTTCCAGTACCAGTAGGCATCCTAAATCCAACATATTCAAAGAAAAAAAAACCAACAATCGTGAGCCTGACATTGTAGAAGCTTATGAAATCGAAACCCTACTGGGCTAAGTTGAGTTGGAGCGGAGGAGAAGAGAGGCGATACCTGATCTGCGACCGCGAGGGGCGGAGATGGAGCAGCGGAGTTCCGGAGGGGACGGCCGGCGGCAAGACCTCGCGAGTCGCGAGCGCCTGCGTGACGCCGTGACTGCTGCGCCTGCGTAGGGTTAGACAGGGAGGCTTGACGGACCTAGAGGCTACAGCGCAGCTGGTCGGATAGTATCCGTACTGTGCAGGTGGGATATATCCAATTTTTTCACGGTTTATGCGTGTTCGCCGGATATCGACATCCGCATAAAGTAGCCGCTTCACCCAGGCTAAATTTTAGTCACTAAACCGCCAAATAAATCGATTGAAAAAAACTAAAATAGTTTAGTCACGTTATTACTTCAAAAAGGATTAAAGTAGGCTAAAGTGTAAGTAGACAGGAGCTGCCTCTCATTATTGCCGGCCCCTCACCTTAATTTGTGCATTCTTTAGAGATAGTTTGGTATTTGTTGAACTGTTTTAATGGCCTTTAGTCACTTTTAGTCACTAGAACCAAACATAAGTGACTAAAGTTTAGTCATTGATTTTAATAACTAAAATTTAGTCATGGGAAACCAAACAGGGCTTTAGTATCCGTGTCTGAAAAAAAAATCTGGATATCAACATAATTATCAAATTAAGGTAGTATTATTAGTCTCAAAAGCAAGAGATAATTAGTTCATACTTTAATATTCATATATAATTTAGACAATATATTATTAATTGAAAAAATAAACACGTGCATGTCACGTGCATATTTACTAGTGATATATTTAAGTATTAGCAAAAGTTATCTAAAAAATTAAAACATCTTATAATTTAAAAGAAAAGGAGTAGTTTGTAATAAATTCAAACAAATGTCAAAGTGCTACACCACCCGGCTTATAGGGAGTAGTTTGTACTCGTATATGGGCCGGCCCTAAATTCCGGTTGCAGCCCAACATAGCTAGTTTTCGCTCAAGGTTTTGGTCGTATCGCCTGATCGCCGCCGGCGAGCGGGTACTAATCTCAGTGCAATTGAGAGAGAGGATTTTTCTGCTCGTCCTCGCACTGTTGCCCTATAAGCCCCTAATCAGAATCTAACGGTCCAAACCCCAAACCCCTCCTCGGCCACACATGGGGAACGCGCGGCGCCCAGCCGCCGACTCGCCGGCGGCGTCGGACCGGGAGGTAGGATTCGCGAAGCTGCAGGGCGAGTGCTTCGAGTACTACATGCAGACCTACTCCATCGTCCTTGGTCGCCATAGCCGCCGCAGCAGCAAGGGCCCCGCCGCCCCGCCGCCGGAGGCCGACGACGGCGTCGACGTGGACCTCGGCGCCCTCGGCGGAGGCATGAACGTCTCCCGCCGCCATGCGTGCATCTTCTACGACTTCCCGCGCCGCCGGTTCGCGCTCGAGGTGCTTGGCAAGAATGGCTGCCTCGTCGAGGGCGTGCACCACGTCCCCGGGTCCGCCCCCGTCAAGCTCGACTCCCAGGACCTCCTCCAGATGGGGGACGCCAAGTTCTACTTCCTCCTCCCCTCCCGCTCCGTCTTCGACGCCGGCATTGCGCGCCGTGCCCCCGCCGTCCAGCGCGCGATCCCGCCGCCTCCGTCTGATGACGACGAGGATGAGGATGAACAGGGAGAGGCCGTGGCAGCGGCAGCGGCAAAGCGTCGGAGGGATGGGGATAACGGTACTGAATTCTTGCATTTCTTGATCTCTGTTGGATTTGAAGAATTGCTACTTGTCCGATTGTACATTGAATTTGCTCTTTGGGAATTGGGATTACATTATCAAGTTCATTTGATTGGTGAAATACTGAAATGATAGTTGCTACTTGTCTGATTGTACATTGAGTTTGTTTTTTTGTGAATTGGGATTACATTATCAAGTTCATGTGATTGGTGATGAGGCCATACTTCATGCTTATGCTGTAATTTTTTCTGTATATTCCAATGAAATGGGTGATACATCATGCCGTGAATTTGGTGGTAATAGAGTTTCATTTATTTATTGTCTTTACATTGTTATGTATTGATGTATTGTTCGCTACTGGTTTCTTGATGATTGCTGGGTTTGAGTTGTTGCGCTTATGCTTGCCAATTGGATGAGAGTGGATCGCATAGTGATAGTGTTATATCTTTTTCATTGAATGGGTGGCAACCATAAGTTTCATTGTTGAGATGATGCTCTTGTCCTGATGGATGTGCAAGAGGCACGCTGCTGGGATGGGTAATGCAGTCGTTCAGGATTGCTCGAGTTTTGTTGATAATCGTCTGTCAACTGGTACTGCTACTTCTTTGGTTGGACATTGGTTTGTGCTGCAAAAAATTGTAGGAGGTGACTAGCGTTATTTGCATCTTTTGATGCTAATGAAATTACTGTTCCTGCCAGCTCAAGGATTTGGAGTTCTTTCAGCCTGTTCGCTTGCTCGTAAACGATCGTAAATTTCCAGCCAGGAACAGTGTTTTTCTCTCACACCAAACCAGCCAGCAGTAAATAATCCACGATACGATACGGCCTCCCGAACAGGCTGTTTGTTGTTTTCAAACTTTACACACCTTATGTTATTGCAAACTTAATGGTGACAGCGATGTAGTATGTATTTTGGGGCATGTTCAGATCTTTCTGTCACTCCACTTTGTGTATGGTATTACCCAACATTGCCAGTATCTTTGGATCGCCAATGTTTTTTCTTTGCAAGGCCTTGTTTAGATTCCAAGTTTTTTCACTCTCTCTCCATCACATCAAATCTTTGGACACATGCATGGAGTATTAAATGTAGATAAAAAAAATAACTAATTACACAGTTTGATTATAAATTACGAGACGAATCTTTTGAGCCTAGTTAGGCCATGATTGGACAATAATTGTCAAATACAAACGAAAGTGCTACAGTACCAAATACTGATTCTTAACAGCTATCTAAACAAGGCCCAAGTCTTCTTTAACAGCCTATTGTAGTAATGCCACATTATGACAGTTATTGCAGTCAGGAAAAATACATTAGATATATGAAATCAAAATCAAATATGATTTCTTCCCTCAAGCTAGACAAAATATGATCTTCAGTAACTTTAGGATTCTTAATGTAATGGCAGGAAAATATATTTCCTTGATTTCCTAGCTCTATACTTCTGTTGCATGCTTTTCTAGACATACCATGTCCTTAGGCCTTACACAATAAGGGATGTAAGTTCGCAGGACTAGGTTTTTTTTGGCATTCCAGGAAACCTGTATATGATTCTTAGGTTTTCTGTTTGTCTACTAAGAGCAGTTGCGAAAACTCTTCTTCCTTTTTTAGGTTTCCTAACTTATCTATAACTCTTTGTTGATCATAGTTACGTGGTGAATGTTGTCTGTGTTTCTGGTCCGCTGACAGGATAGCAAGTTGCCTTCTTAATGCATCTGCTTCTTAGATCCTAATTCCTGAACATGTACAAATCTGATTTTTTTTAACAATAATTTTGGACGGTGCTGTTGGTGGGGCTAATGTCTACATAGCTAATTCATACATTTCTCACCATCTTTTTATTTGAAATAGTATCTGAATCGAGAGCTATGTTTGATCTGGAAGATTGAAACATTGTAAGGATGCAAGCACAGATAGCTTTCTGTTGCCTGCAGTGTAATACATTTCATTATAGATTGTTTAGAGCATCAGTGCATACTAAGTATCATGAAATGGCTAGTTTCTATTACTTTAGATATTGCATTATTAATACTTTAGAAGGGCAGGTCTGGTGCAGTGGTGAGAGCTGTCTCACTGAGTCACCAGGTCGCGGGTTCGAAGCAGCGTCTCCGCAGATTTTGCGGGGGGAAGGCATGCCTCGGTTTTTCCCTTCCCCAGACCCCACTCATGTGGGAGCCTTCGGCACTGGGTCTGCCCTTTTTTTTATTGCATTATTAATACTTTACTACTTGGTTCATCACTTTTAGTAGAATTTCAGGCTTTTCCCATGGAACCTGTGTGCACTCATATTTTTCATATATATATATATAATCTTCCATAGTGTTGTCAAAATAATTTGAGCATGTTGAAGACAAATAACTGTTTTATTCTGCTGCAGGATCAAAATCTTACAGGGAAGCAGATGATCAACTTTTGCTTCAGTTGGAAGAGAAAGATGTTATCTCATCTGCTGCTACTATCTTGTCTGATCTCTGTGGACCTCAGGAATGGATTTCTATGAACAAGCTTCATGAAGTGGTAGGGAAGTTTTTTTTTTCTCATGGAGAAGTATCAGTAGATGCTATTTCTTTGCTGTCCCCCTTGTTTTAGCTAAAATCTTATTCTTATGGATGCTGCTATTCCCTGTACCTTTGCATTATGATAGCCTGAGCGTAACCCTTACCCCTCTACTGTCCTCCCTTTGACGAAATGAATTATGGTGCCCACATACACTCCTTTTCGTGTCTATGCTAAGGGTATCTATAGGTTATAGAATTCCAGTAAAAAAGAACCTTGCATAGGTTGATCTAAGCTCCTTGTTCAGTAAGGATTGACCTCATGATCCAAGTAGAGTTAAAATCTAATCTGCTGTTACAAGTTTGTTTGTATAACAATCATGGAGTACCAGATAGTTTTACTACCACTTGCAGCTGGGACAGCTTGAAGCAGGCTTGCGCTGTCAGACATTAGTTGTGTGGCAATATCCCCCCCCCTCTTCTGCCCCTTCAGAATTCGGATATGTCTGCTCGAACATCTGTATTTCAGTTCGCTGATAGTGGAAATGGGCCGATTTTGGTTTTGAAAAAAAAAGATAGTACTCCCTCTGTTCCAAATTATAGCTGACTTTAACTTGCACTAAGTCAAACTTCTCTAACTTTTACAACATCGGGTTAGTTTCATTAAATTCTCTATGAAATATGTCATGATAGTGCATTTATTTGAACTTGCAGATGTTAGTATACTTTTCTAATAACTAAGTCAAAGTTAGAGAAGTTTGACTTGGGACAAAGCCAAAGTGAACTATGATTTGGAATGGAGGCAATATTTCTGTAGAATAAGCTTCTCATTTTTTTTTTTTTTTGAGCAGCCTAAGGTTTTGCTTGAGCAAGTTGGATCCTAGCTTTTGCAATGCTATCTGATAAATACATGTTTTTTCTAATATATACATTTTACTGGTAATTTCCACTGTGCTTAACGTTTTTTAAACAAGACACTGAGAACTACTGAAACTGGACATAGTCAGTCATCTTTCTACTAGTTGTAGGCTGAAAGCTTCCATACAATGGTATATGGGTTTCTGTACTACCAAATCCAAATGGGGTTCATTAAAAAAAAGAAAAAAACAAACCATATGTGGTCTTTTTTTAATCAAAATGTGGTTGTTGTAATCTTCTAGAAGCCGGTAGTTGCCACTTTATTTTTCCAGTACTAATAGGTCTGGGCACAACCAGTGTCTCATGATCAAGGACCATTTGGTGCCCTGCTCTGTTTCCTATTCTGTGCTTGACAGTTTCTTGTTTGCAATTATTGTTTACTTCCTGTGGCTTATGTCCTAATCAGATTTCGTGTAGTTTGCTCTATTTTACATTTCTTCCATGTTTATTATATCCTTCTGTTTATTTCTAACAAATCTTTCTGTTGTATTAGATGTTTGATAAGTACGGCAATATGTGGCACCACAGCAGGGTGCGAAAATATCTGACATCTGAAGACTTTCCGGAGACTGAAACTGATGGTAGTCCATGGCATGGACTTGCATTGCTGCTAAGAAAGTACCCTGAGCATTTTGTGATCAACATTAGGAAAGGTGGGGGTTTGAGCACTGAGTTTGTCTCTTTGGTCTCACTACAATCTTGATAATTTCTCAAACACTCCTCCAAGGGTGGTGTTGTATAGCTTGGAGTATTCTTTTGCTACCTTTGTAAAAAAATAGTTAGAGGTTTAAAGGATTTGAGCTTTTTATTTTCCTTTTGTTTGCATTTTGGTTGATACATCGGTTGTGGAGAATATTCCCCCAGCAAATTGACAAAACACAGAGTTTAATGATTATTGATTTAGCCATGCTATATTTCGTGATCTGGTGCCATGCTACTTTGGTGGCCAACTTGTTGATGGGTTTGTGTGATGCCCTAGGGCATCAGCAATATACTCCCTCTGTCCATCGCTGTACGGTGTATTTTACATTGGAAAAGAATTCCAATCAAATCGTAGTCAACGTTATCAATATATTCGAATAATTTTAGATTTTGTAGCAACTGGCACTAAAATTGAATGAAAATATGCAATTAAAAATCCTAAAATTGAACGAATCGTAGAAAAATTATATTATTTCAGAATGCAATTAAAAATTCTAAAATATGAAACAATCTAAAAATAATTGAAATTTTGTTTCGGTTTAGAAAAATATGAGACCCATTTCAGATTTTTTTTCTTCTAAAATCGTGTTGTACGTCTTTTCCGAGCTGGGCACCATGATATGGAGCATGATTTAAAAAACACGTGAACACTGTCAATGTGTTCCCGCTTGATCATGTGATCCAGGTGTGCAAGATCCATGATGTCATGGGGCAAGCAATGCACCTAGCTCACCTGCAACATCGGTCTTGGTAAGGTCAAGGGTCGTGTGGCATGACAGCTCGTGTAGAAAGGGCGTGATTGGTAGGCTGAATTGGGCGTTCCTGCACCGTTTTGATGTCTGACCTCATTCATGCGGCGTGTTTGGTTGCCCCTCCTCGCACCTTTCGCATGTATCCTTTCATTCATCTGTCCTCCTCCATCCCGCACGACTTCATCTTCTCAATTTCCACTTCCCTCTCCATACAGGATGGCTTGATTCAAGTATGGCGCAGAGACTCATGTGTCATACACTCAAAACTCTCATCCATGCATGCAACCAAACAAAATCTCATCTCATACTGGACCAACAACAAAAACAACCAAACACGACTGAGTGCACGGTTTGAGCATGCATCTCACCATCCTGGACCGGCTCTCCATCCTGGCTCCCCCTCACCAAAGCAACCAATCACGCCCAAAGTGTATGTAGTGTGAGGCTCATGTAGTGTTTGGTTGCGAGACGTAGCGATGGGATGTAACCGTCTTGTTTTGTGTTTGGTTGATGGAGGACTATTCTATTTTTATTTGGTTGGGAGAGATATCTAAAAGTGGGATAAAAAACTTGACTAGTGAGGTCCACCTGTCATTCTATCTTTTTTCTTTCTTTCGTCTTCCTCCATCCGCTCACACATGGCTGCTTGATTTTATGTGCTCGATTTCCTCGCGCTAGAGCCAGGACTACGCTTGCAGCTCGCATGGCCGCGCGCCGGTGCCGGGGGGCGGCGCTCACCCACACGACCACGCACTGGGCCGGTGCTAGTGCAGCGCTGCCGCCGCCCGCCGCGGACGCGCCCTCCTGGTGACCCTCCGCCACGCGGGCTATTGGATCGAGGGAGAGAGCTGCTTTTTTTTCGTACGGAGCGCACTCGAGCGGTGCCGGAAATGAGCGGTTGGGGGCAGGGATGACTCTGTCCATTGAAATAGGTGGGATGCGGAGTCACGATATCTATGGAGTATATTCCTAACTGGGACATCCCTTTGCCTCTACGACTCTGATCCAAACAGGCTAAGAAAGAGGTCCATATCCCATCCTGTCCCAGCAAATTCCAGCGACCAAACACTAAGCCCCTGTTTGGTTTCTACAGCCGCTCCTAAAATTTCTATCGCATCAAATGTTTAGACATATGTATGGAGTATTAAATATAGATTAATTACGAAACTAATTACACAACTTGCGACTAATTTGCAAGACCAATCTTTTAAGCCTAATTAGTCCATGATTTGACAACGTATTGCTACAGTAAACATGTACTAATGACAGATTAATTAGGCTTAAAACAATTGTCTCGTAAATTAGTCTCTATGTAATTGGTTTTGTAATTAATCTATATTTAATATTCTTTATTAGTATCTAAACATTTGATGTGACATGAATTTTAAGAACGACTAAAGAACCAAACAAGACAGACTTACCTGACAAGCCACCATGAGGCCACGCTGGTCACGTTGCGGCTCGGTCGCCGTTGCAGCTCTATGCTGTGCCGTACTGACGGCAGGAGACATGGAAGAGGTTTGCTATGTACCAGCCGATCCGTGATGGGGCCTCGGTGAGGTTGATCTTGTATGTGGATCGTTACCCCAGAGCAGTACTGCTAGTTTAAAAACCCTATTAACTGGCAGTGGCGAGGTTAGATCTTGTATGTGGATCATTACCCCGAAACAGCACGTCGCTGCTAGTTCGCTGCTAGTTCAAAAACTCTCAGCCTGTACGATGGGCTGGTTCGTATCGTTGCTGATTTGTGAAGAAATACTGCTGGCTGGTTTGTATGAGAGAAAAATATTGTTTCGGCTGAAAATTTACGATCGTATATGACAAGCACAAGCCAAACGAACATGCTGTCTATGAACCGGCAGTATCAAAGCAGCGAGGTTGGATCTTCGCCCTGTTTGCTTGGGTTTATTTGGCTGATAAGCTATGACTAAAAGTACCGTTGGCTAATTTGGTGTGAAAGAAAAATACTGTTCATTGACTGAAAAGTACGGCTTATAAGCTAAACAAGCCCAAACAAATAGGGCGCTTGTACGTGGATCATTACCTCAGAATAGCACATCAGTGCTAGTTCAAAAACCCTATCAACTGGCAGTATCAAAGCGCCAGTGCCCAAATAAAACAATAATTTTTTAATACTAGGAGAGACCCTACTGGGTAGCCACACGAACGCGAAAACACAATTTTTTGACAAGTCACGCAATTTTTTTATGCTAGAAACATGTGCTTTTGCGCCGGCCGGTGCTCGAACCCGCCAACCTCAACCTTGGCGTGTTCGTCCCTTACCAACCCCATCAGCATGACGCTTGTGTCTATTAGGGATATTCGTCGTCCCTATTTCATATTCATCTGGTTTTTTAAATGAGTATTTGGGATCCTAAACGAATTCAAATGAAAAATTATCAACTAAAGTTTTTTAACTTTTCAAGATCTAGAACTTTGGTTTTTGTCATTTCTCCATCTGAGGGTGTTTGAAGAATTTGAATTTCAAATATGAGAAAAATTCAATCATAATTTTACTTGGATAGATTATTTCAAATTAAAATGTTATCAACTACAAAATTGCATAAATTTTCGAGATCTACAAGTTTTATTTTGGCCATTTCTCCATCCGAGGTCATGTGAAAAAATAAATTTCAAATATGAGAAATTCACACGTAATTTTTTATATAGATTATTTCAAATGAAAAGTTGTCAACTACAACGTTACATAATTTTTAAGATCTACAACTTTTATATTATTCATTTTCAACTTTTATATTAGTCATTTCTCCATCCGAGATCATTCCCTATCACTACACGCTAACTTATACTCTAAAGCATATGAATTTCTTTGGTATGAACTATATAAAATCTTGTAAATCAAATATTTCAGCATCAAAACTATTTCAAATAAAAATATTGTGAACTACAAAGTTTCATATCTTCTCAAGACCTAAAACTTTTCTTTTTGTCGTTTCTCCATCCGAGATAATTCGCTACCACTACACACTCACTTGTGATTATATGTCTATATAGTATATGGATTCCTTTGGTATTAACTCCAAAAAATCTTGTGATAGATATTTTGGCATAAAAATGATCTCAAATTAAAAAAAAATTTAACTACAAAGTTGTATATCTCATCGAATACTATAACTTTGGTGTAAAGTTCATCTTTATTGGACATCAAATGAGAAAGTTATGAAGGTTTTTGTGCAGTCTATCACTGTCAGGCCATTTCCCGAACCGACAGTGAGCCAAGAACCGATAGTGATGACCCAATATCATTGCTAGTTTAGGCTAAAAAACGACAGTGATAGGAATCGGCAGTTATGCGCCGGCAGCCACGATTTGTAAGAAACAGATGGTGATGAGCCAACGGTGAATATCAGTTCTCTAGTAGTGGATGCACTTTACACTGAGTGCTGGGTCAATGATGACAAACGAGGAGGGTGGTGTTACACTGTAAATCGTTTACTAAAACACTGCATGAGCATCGTGTTTATATGTAAATGCATGTAATATAGAGTGTAGATTAATTTCCGTAACTTAAAACGACCAACAGAAATGCTTAACGAAAGGTTGTTCGTGACGTATGAAATTATCAAGTAAGGATGTTCGTGAATTTTTATTGAACAAAAACACTATAGAACGTATATATGAAATTTTAATAAAGTTAGAAGTACAAACTTCGTAAACGACGATAAAATACCTGCGGTCGAAAAATAAATTCACTAGCTAACTGGTCTAATAGGTTGGAAATTAAATTTGACGTGAATCTGATCATGACTTAGTCGATTACGTAAGTCTGAAAAATGGTTTGACAAAGCTAGGTTTGGTAATTTTTGCAGAAGAATCGGGTTAAGGAGTGGTGTGGTTTTAGGGCTTATTTTAGTAGCCTAACATGCCCTCTCGAGTACAAAATAGGTGGTTTGGCGTTTCAATCAACGAATTAGATTTTTGGGACGCTTTAAAAAGCATGCATGGCACGTTTTCGGCTGGTTTCAGTGACTGGGCGCGGTCACTGTGCCTCGGCACTCGGCGTCGCAGCACCGGCTCGTCCAACGCGCGCACACACGCACACCGCCGCGCAGGCTCCGCATCGCCACTGCCGCGCCCGGGCACGTGTTGCACGAGCAGAGCACGCACACTCCCGCGCCGCGCACCGCCGTGCTTGGCAGGTCCGATGCCTTGGCCGGTCTGCTGCCGCCTGCCTCGCCGTGTCACGCCGCTTGCATCGCGTCCGTCTACGCCGCTGCGCCACCGCCGT